GGACCTGGCGGAGCACATCGCCATTTTAACGGTGAGAGACAAGTTAAAGATTTCATCCAAACTCTGCTACACTACGGTGGCTACAACGAAATGGCCGACATCCTGGTCAATCTAACATCGTTAGCCACTGAAATGGGGCGACTGGTATCGGAGGGTTATGTGCTAACTGTTCTGGCTCCGAACGACGAAGCCATGGCCAAACTAACCACCGACCAGTTGAGCGAGCCAGGAGCACCTGAGCAGATTATGTACTACCATTTAATACCCGAGTATCAGACGGAAGAGAGTATGTACAACGCTGTTAGGAGGTTCGGGAAGGTGCGATACGACACCTTGAGGTTGCCGCATAAAGTGGTGGCTCAAGAGGCCGACGGGTCGGTGAAATTCGGCAATGGAGATGGGTCGGCGTATTTGTTCGATCCTGATATTTACACGGATGGACGGATCTCGGTGCAGGGCATTGACGGGGTATTATTCCCGCCGGAGGAGACAGAGGCCAAGGACGCACCAAAAACGGTTCAACCCGCTAAGGTGGTGGCCAAGCCCCGCAGAGGTAATAATTTTGTTAAATTTTAAGTGCAATTTTCACACATTACTTTGATTAATTCCTCTGATTGGTATAAGTTAACGCTTGCTTAAGTTTACTTCGTCATGGACCGTAGCATAGTTATTGGCATATAGTAGCCACAGTTTTTTGTGTCCACAGATTGCTTATCATTTACCATAATCGAAATAAAGACCTCATCGATTATCTAGAACATTCAATTATACCTTTTTAGAAATTCAAGATGGAAGGGGTCCATTAAGACTATCCTTTTGATTTCAACCATCGAGATTATATTAATATTGCCGTAACCCATTATATATCAGACTTGTTATTTCCAACATCGTTATCAATTGTTTGGGAGCAAAGAAAAATTTTACTCGATTGAAACCCCTTGGCTAACTGAAAATAATTGATTAGTTACACGTATAGGTGCGTGTATTTGACTACACTAGGTGGAGCCTTGATGTGCATTAAAAGTTACTCTTTGCGGTTGCTTTAAATATTTGGTCTCATCGAAAGGTGAAAATGAACTTTGGCGATTTCTAGAGGTGTCTCCATGCGATATTTGCCTTCGCAGAAGGGAAGAGTTGACAATTATTTGGCACATTACAATTTACTGTTTTGTTAGAGCTCTTTTCATCAAAATATTAATTTGAAGTAGGATGGAGCGTTAAAGTTTGCTAAACTTTAGGGCAATTCAGATTTATGTGGTTCAAGAATTCAGCCAAATGTGTAGTGAGATCATATATTTAAGGATATTAGCAAATCGCTAAAAATATTTCCAATTATCCCAATCAACATGGTTGACGATGTATCATAAATTTTGGTACAGCTAATTGATCTGCTCGAAACTGTACTAAGACTTAAAGATCTTCTCGCTACAGACTCCCAGATATTCTTGGAGGTCAAACGAGTTTCTTTTTTCTTTTAGGAAATGGTGAAAAAAGTATTGTTCATCTTTTTAACTACAGAGGCATGCCTATGCTAGATTGTACGTTGTGTTGCACAATTTGTATTTATCCACGACAGAAAGAGGAAGCAATTGGCAAGTTAGGATTGAATTAGGTCCTAGTCCCCTCGAAAGTAGGTTCGGAAGTAATATTCGTGCAGAAGATTTGGTCTCTTTTCATGAATCGATTTTGTTAATTTATGACTATTGGGTAGGAACTGATCTATTCTGCTCTGACATCCGCTTGAACTAAAAATTTTCAAAATGGCAGGGAAACTACTGGAAATTGGTTGCCGGATGTTGAGAACTTTTGGACAGGATTCTTCTTTCACAGCTTGTCACTGAAGTCTGTATTGGTTGATTAAAACCAAAAGAAGGTTTGGACTTCCCCTCCTGCATTTTTTATCGTTGTTATTATTCTCCATGGATTAGGAATCTCTGTAGGTTACTTACCGCTGGCCCCGCAGGGTGAAAACATTGTCTGTTTACTCAATATAGGAAAACCATTCCACGCTAGATTTATGGTTCCTTGTTATCATGTGCCAATAATCACTTAATACCAAACCCTTTTTCTGGGAATAGGAATACCAAATTTCGTTTATTGGTTTATATTCTATATTAGTTTATGAACTTTTATATATAATTTGTATTGGGTTTTTGTTTTGACCCCTAAACTTGTCTTAAAAACTATTTGTCATTGCTAATAATTTTCGATTAATCATTTAATAAAATTTTAAATATCTTTTGAAAACTTTTAGTTACTATATGTGACTTCAAATACTTGTCCATGATAGATATCTACTAACGAGGTAAATAAATGGTGTTCCTGGTTGAATAACATAAAAAAAAGATAAGATTGAAACCAAATTATAAGACATAATGTTTAAAATCATAGACAAAATTGAAGGATCAAAATGGATGATTCATGAATGTTCAAAAACTAAAATAGGATTAAGACCAAATTAACATATTCATTGGAATAAGCATAAAAGCATATTTTTTCCATAGAATCCATACACCAAACTTGTATGCCCAAATTTTCTGATGAAATATGACTTTCAATGCGATACCAACCTTGTATTTGATGTTCTCATTTCTAATAAAGGAGTCCTCGCAAAGAAATTGCGAGTAGATACCAAAATAGACTTTGTACCTCATTACACTGTAGATAATAGATATTAAATTTATGGCCATTCATGCAGATTTGCTAGAACGTGATAGGATCCAGATGGTGCAAACACAAAGGAAGTTCTGTAAGGACAACTCAAAGGTCAGATGTTGTATAATGTTAAGCAACTTTGGTGGGCTGCTGCTGGTAGGAGAAAAGTCTGTGTAGCTTTTATAATTCACCATTATGGAGTACATAATGTAAGTCTATTTTGTATACCTTATTCATTGTCAGTGGTGGAGGTGGGATCTGTTAGTTGTGTTGTGTCTGGCCAACACGTGTGGGCAGGTAACTTGCACACTTCTAATCTGCCTCAGTCAATAATTTGAAATAAAATGTATTATGGAGTGCGAAATGAAAAATTCTTTCTGTTACTTTCATTTAAATTTCATTTGTTGCCCTTCTACCAGTGGAATTTTCTGTCGACTGTATTATTTGGTCTTGATAACAAGATGTGACCGAGCGGATGCTATTATTTATTTATTTTACATTACAACAAGGGGTGAGAGATTCGAATTTTTGACCTTTTGGTTGAGACAGGTGACCAACAATTACTGGAGAGATAAGCTCGTGGCCAGCTGATGCTATTTTTGGTCATGAAGTATTCTTTCTGGTTCTGTGTGTATAAAGATTACACATAAATGGGTGAAAAGATATACAAGTGACCTTTGAACATCAGGTGTTTCACAAATTTTTCTTATAAAATTTTCAACATTTCCAGTACAAATGTCCTGAGAAAAGAGCCATTCGGATAGATTACTTTCAATATTGTTTAGTCAAACCGTGAATTATGAAAACTTGTATGATAAATTTAGGTTAAAATACTATTTTTATCATTGTATTGACCTTGGTTCATTTTAGTCATTGTACTTTGAAAATGTTCATTTTAGTTCTTGTAATTTAAATTTTAGTTTATTTTAGTTTTTGTACTAAAAATATTTATTTTGGTTATTGTACTTTCAAAACATGATCATTTGTCCATCTTTGCAAATTTTTAACACAAATTTTACACACAATGAAAACTTTTAGTATAAAGTAATATTTACATTTTAAGAAATATATTGATTTCAGTGTTGTGTTGAAATTATGATAGAAAAAAATGAGATTAAGAATAAAATTAAGGGACAAAAAGGTCACTTATTTATGAATAAAACTAGTATTTTAACCATAAATTTAAACGGGTTAATAAAAAAGGCTGCTGTTAAAATCAAAGCCATTAAAATAGAGAAAGTTGTATTTTTTAAATCATTTCAAAAGTTTGAATTTCTATACTACTCTTGATCTTGATCTTGATCTTTCATCAATGTTGTCACAAATACCATATGTTAATATCTTGAATGAAAAATTGACATTATAGAATATGGATGTGACAGTTTACTTCTTCAATTCTCTTCCTAATTTTACTCTAATTCCCTTTTAAAAAGGAACTTTTTTCACATTTATTCTTCTCAAAATAAACTTTATTGCCAAATCGTTTCAAATTCTAATGCATTAAATTTCCATTTAAAATATCATTGGATATTTACTCAAAAAAAATATTTTTGAAATGTTTATGAAAAATGGATTGTAACTTTTGAAAGTTGAAATGTTCATATGAAGAAGAGAAGTATATATGTGTGTATATATACATATATTTATATATTTATAATTTAGCATTTATTTTAAAATTCAACTCCAACAAATCTGTTATGTGGTCAACATGGATCCAAAACATTTTCTTACGGCACGAAAAAGTAAGATCTATAAACTCGTTGAATGTTGTCATATGAACACATCAAGGGCGCCTTAGTGGCAAGGACAAGGAATGTTTGGAGATATCCTTTCTCTGGGAATCCCTCTTTTTTCCGATCCGTTCGTTCGTCTAAAATTCAAAATCAATGACTTAAAAATTCTTATAGTCAAGCTGACTTTGGTTAGGCTAAGCTACTTCATGAAAACAGTGCACCTCTAACATTCAGGTTATCAAAAGAAAAAAAAAAATCATAGTAGGGAGAAAATTAATCTGATTCTTCTGGTGAACCAACATTCCAAAATGTTTCACCCACTCCACGACGAGGATTCGATCTGAATTCCTATTGCATACCAAAATGGTTGAGACAAAAGCTTGTTTCTGTTAGACAGCAAAAAGGAAGGCCCATGTAGTAAATACATGGCTATGTATTTTCCTCTAGCAGTTCAAACCACTCATTAACCAGCAAACTTTTGCATGCATGTGATGGGACCAAGGAAAAACACTACACAGGTCATCGTCATAACGCTACCAGAATTTCTAGAATCGTCTACTTTTATCTTTTCCTCTTGGTGGCAGATCCCGAACCTCGCCCTCGCCCCCCTCCTTTCTTCTCTGAAGCCTGCGAACTACTACGGCCACCTTTTCCTCTGCCACCGGATTTCTTGGCGCTTGAATTATCCACGCCCTTCAAATCCAATTGCACTTGCATTCCTAACAAAATATAAAACTATATTAATTTCAAGAACGAATAAATGCAGTCCATCAGTATGAAAGATCAGCTACCTTTCTTATTCAAGCTTTGAAGTTCCAGTTGCAGCTTCTCACCGTTTGTGGAGTCTTCTGTAATTGCAAACCAGAAAGAATAGTTCAGTTAAAGAAGTGGAACTCGCCCAACAAGCACAACCGGCTTGCCAACAGTTGAGCACCTACAATAGACAAATGAAATCTTACCCGCGCCCTCGTTGTCCAAAGCGTCCTCATCGTCACTTTCGGCCAATGTGTCTCCACCAGCACCCTCAATTGTATCCTCAGCCGGTTCTAGAATTGCTGCAATTCGCTTCTTGGGGGCCTTTTTAATTCCAGTAAGTGTAATAAGATCTGCAGCCCGCACCATGTGTGTCTTGCTTACTTCTTTGTATGCCTTTGTTAGAGCAGCTTTGACAGCAGGGGCTACACCATCCAACGGATTCTTACGACCCTGACTCGAAGAACCATCCATAAGAAAACTACGCTTAAAAATAAAAGTAGCAAGTGTAGTGACCATGATATTACTAAGGAAAAAGTAGATCAGTACCTGAAATTTTGACAACTCCACAACAGTATCAAAATCCTCTTGACTAATTGAATATAGACTCATTAATTCTACAACCATTTTAACAGCTTCATCCTGGTAATCATATCATTTGAAAAAAGTATAAATTGAACCATAATGCCTCAAAGACTACCGTTCCTATAACTAGAATCAAACAAACCAAATATATTCTAACCTTCGGCAGAGTGTGCAGTGGCTCAGTCAACCTCTTTAGAAATAGAGTAAGGTTCTCAACTCGTAGGTGTTGTCTGTATTATTTAGAATTGAAATATTATAGTTTGCAACTAATGGACACACTCAACCATGTGGAAACTGAAAGAGTGGGGTTAAGCACCCTACACAACATTCAAAATCTAGGAACTTCTCTTGCCAATATATATCCTACTCTATCTTATTCTAATGCACAAGTCTAAATTGATCACTACGCCACTGGAAAAGTAGATTTTTTTTTTAAGTTAAAAAATAGAATGAAACAATATGTAGTAAGAAAAAATGAATTGAAAGGAGAGGGATAGGAAACCTCCTAAGAGCAAAAGTAGTTACAAAACACTCTTCAATTGCTTGAATGTCAGAAGTTTAGTTGCAAATAAATCCCTTTGGAAGGGTTTCTCCATGGCACCCTTGCTTTGCCACAGAGCACAAAAATGAGAGCCAACAGGAGATCATATTTTTCTTTTTTTAACAAGAAACGAACTTTTCATTGATTTAATGAAAAGGAACAAAAATTGTTCAAAAGATACAAACCCCGAACAGGAAGTCATATGAAATTCTAAGTGACCTCTTTTCACAACAGAGAGTGATAAAATGCCTCATCCTTCCCTCTTTGTTTTTTTATCCCTTTTCCTTTTTTCAGAAACAAGAAAAACTATCCATTGATGTGATGAGAAGTAAAATCAAACAGTATGGTCGCAAAAGATATTATATAAATAAACCCAGCTTCAAAGGATAGATTTAATCACATTAACCCATAGCTTCTTTGTTATCCCTTGAGAGTATGGCCACATATTGACTGGATAAAATTTTCTTTAACCCACATCTTCCTTCATTTTCTGTATTATTATTATTATTATTATTATTTTGATAATCGGGAGTTGGAACTTTGTTCTCCTATACCCAGGGACACCCACGCTTGCCACAAGGCTCGGACCCAGGAGACATCAAGGATTTTTGGTATTAAGCTCACCAGAAGGTTTGAACTTGAGACCTCTAACCAAGAAACCCCAAGCCCTTGCCAATTGGACGGCCCCTTTGGGGTTTTCTGTATCTTTATTATTAATGAAATGATTCATATCCCTCAAAAGAAAGTGGAAGATATATTATTGAGAAGGTATCTAACGTTGCAACTTCAACAAGGAGTGTATTCATACAGGAAGTATAATATACTGCAGCAACCAAAAGAGGAAATGCAGCATATAAAAATTTACCTCCCTGAACAGGATTCACGAGAAGCAAGAATGTGAACATGCAAATCCTCCAAAAGCCTCATATTTTTTCCAAATGTCGAATTTTTTCCCAGCCATGCACTAAATCTATTAAAATTACGCTCTCCCTGCATAATATGCACGAATGAAGTTTAGTATAATTTAAAATGCAACTATGGTACACATACCCTTGGAAGTGGATTATTGTACCATATCCGAGGATTAGAGATAGAGGGAAAATGAGCCTGAAAACTTGCACTCGCAATAATCTATAATACATAAAGGAAAACCCACAGCTCACCATCATTACTCCAAAAGCACATAAAATTCGGTTCCTAAGAGCAACACAGATTTGCAACAGAATACAAGAAACGCATGCTAAAATATGATAAAGGCAAAAAGACATGCAGGAGTACAACAAATTATTGCCAATATAATTGAGAACTTCAGTTCGATCTGAGGCCATAAAATCAACACAGAGAAGAGCATAATAACAAGTTTCTTTCAATAGTAAGGAAATTGAATGCATCTCTCTCTAAGATAAATTCAATGGTTGGAAATGTATTGAATGTACGAATCAGTGTCCATTATATGTTTATCACTTAACAAGAGCTTGACACATATCCAACCAGTGTCAGAACGTCTAATACACAGTGATGAACGTAAGCACATTGTCCAAATTAAAGTACCATTGTTTTTTTTTTTGAT